TTTTTGTATGAATAATTATAGTGCAATAAATAGAAAGAATTTAATAAAGTTCAATGAATTATTGGAAATTATCAAAATTTGCAAGGGTAAAAGAGGTAATCAAAAGTTTTAAAATCACAGTCCTCTATTATAAATAGTATAGATTCTAGAAATATGTTTTTAACACATGTCATTATATACTAAATTCTTCCTACTAGCTACTAAAAATATATGTTTTTGTATGAATAATTATAGTGCAATAAATAGAAAGAATTTAATAAAGTTCAATGAATTATTGGAAATTATCAAAATTTGCAAGGGTAAAAGAGGTAATCAAAAGTTTTAAAATCACAGTCCTCTATTATAAATAGTATAGATTCTAGAAATATGTTTTTAACACATGTCATTATATACTAAATTCTTCCTACTAGCTACTAAAAATATAAGATATCTGTTTTGAGATGTGGATAATTTGGAAATGAATATTTGAAACACCTTATCTATGCGCTGTGTACGTAAACAGAGCTATATACCAAGTTAAAATATTTATTTAAAGTAAGTATTTCTACTTGCTGCACATAATTAGTTAACATTCACTTTTCTTTTTTTTTTCCTTTGCTACCTGAGACCTCTACTAAAATGCAGGGGCGCCTCTGCAGCTAGAGATTCCAGTTTTTAAATTACAGACAACCAGCATTTAATCGACGTCATGAATCTCATCATACTACAAGTAAAATGGCCATAATGATAGTTGCATTAATACTTAAATCTGTTACCAAAATAGTAAAATGGCCATAATGATAGTTACATTAAAAATTAAATCTATTATCAAAAAAATCAAGATCTTAAAGAAATGTCGTGGTTGTAACTGGGAAGTGTGCTCGATTGTCAAAATAGGCATCATCAAAACACTTGTTTCATCTTTAACAGCATCAACACATTTGTTGCAATAAGTGTTGGCTATGTTATTAAAAAAAGTCAATTTTGACTTTGTGAATAGTCCCACCTTGGAAAATAAAATAAATAGTTGGTGGTTTATAATGGTTCTTCTCTAATTGGACTTTGAATAGTGTTTGGGGTTTTGTATTGTTTAGGTTTTGCACATCACACATGTGACACGCCACGCCTCGACGCGCGCGTCGCACAACATGTTTTTTATTTTCTCTGGCTTTATTTTGCACGTTTTTCACGTGTGTAACGGCTACGGGTTTATTGCATAACGATCGACGTTACGGCAAACGTTACCGAATTGATTGCTGGGTTTTATAACGGCTCTCTACAACCCCTATATAAGCAGCCCTTGTCACTCTCGAAAACACAACAAATCTCTTCTTTCTCTTCTCTCCTCTGCTTTCAATAGTGATTTTCCTCCATATTTTGATTTTATTTTCGAGCAACCTTCTTCATCTGAGCAGAAGCTCTGTACTCTCGCCCGAGTTCAAATGTCGGCCGATTTTAGAGATTTTTACCGCTAGGAAAGAGAGGATCATCTGCGCCAGGACGATAGACATGTCATTTATCTTCTAGGGCAGTGTTTACACAACTGTTCCCAATCAAGTCAGATTTTTTGATTCTTCTTTACTTTCGAATTTATTTGTTAATTTACATGCTATAAGCTTAATATTTGTTTTACATCCAACAACAAGAAAATAAGAAGAAAAGAGGAGCAGCAGCAGAAGGAAGATTTGGTGGGGGGGGGGGGGTGGCGGGACTCGCGTCGGAGTAGGAGACTTGCGGTCCTATGGCTAGGGTTGACCGTTAAACAACCTTGGGATAGGCCATAAAAGGAAGCGGCAGAAAAGGCATGCCAGGAACATTGAAGTAGCATAAAAACCATGCGATGAACATTGAGTGGATGATCTACAATCCTCAGGTCACAACTTTCAAGGATACACGTATAAGTAATTTAGGTGGCTTTGCAAAAAAAAAATTTGATGGTAAACTAATTTATCCAAATCCAAAATAAATTCAGCAAGGCAAGATAAAACAATACTCTCTCAAAGGTTTCCCACTATTTGCCTAACTTGCCTAGAAGCCACAGAAAGTTGATAGTTGCAACCCACTTGCCATCAAAACAAGGGCTATACATGGATCAAACAACAATAATGAGTTGAATCTATAGCTCAATAAACTTCATTATAGATTTCTAATGTTCACTAATACTAAGCATCGGTAGCAGCAGCAGCAGCAGCAGCAAGCCAAATCATATCGCTTTGTTTTGGGGGTATTTTCTTCTGTTACATCCTTCTTATCTGTTTCAGACAAAGTTACCTAACGCTTTGTGAAGTCAAATTAATTCACTTTGTTTGGAAGTTTTTTTAAGGGGAAAGGAAAGTAACAAAGTTTACGCCACCTCGTTCCATATAATTTGTGCATTTCATTATCCTTGTGCACATTCTCTCGTGTTATCATCAATAGGAACAACTTAAACCTCCTACAGAAAGAACTCATCCCTCATCATTTATCCATAAGTTGGTCAAAACAATATCGTTTCGTAATTGTCCAACATTTCAATGATACACAATACATCGCTGATCATCATGCTCAGTTAAAAGTTTCCCCTAAAACAGAGGGCACAATGAGGTGCTCAAGAGATCACCCATCCTAGTACTAGAGCCCAATCACCCATCCTAGTACTAGCCTAGCCCAAGCACGCTAACTGGGGACCTCTGATATGACAAGGTGCATTAGTGCCAGCATTATTGCACCCAATTATATGAATAATGAGGGTAAAATTTAATCCGCCAGTATCAGACGGACGAGAATGTGCTTGAAGATGATCATTTAAATGAATTTGTGGCCTAGAAGAGAAGGCAAAAGAGAAGAGAAGACTATAGGAATTTTGAAGAGAAAAAGGCTAGTAAAACAGCGACTGTAAAACAAATTACTGTTTTGTAATTCCCGGAATGAACAGAAGAAGGGACCATAAAAAATTTCCAGAAAATAATCAAGATTCTTTTCAAAGGCCCAGTGAAATCTTAAACAAAAGATTTGATTTACATTAACTAAATGCATAACACAAAACAAAATAAGTTATGTACATAACTTATAAAAGGAAAAAAAAAGATAAATAACTTGTAAAAGGAAAAAAAAGATAAATAGAAAAATCATTTCAAACTCAGTCTTAGACAAACTATTCAACAAAGTTCACAATTGTACAAAACTGCGATGGAACTTATCTTTAATATTAATTATCAGAAGACACATATTATATCTTCTAAAGGATAAGTTGTTAATTTATGGTCTTTACAAAGTCCAAATTCTAATTTGTTCAAGCAAACAATGACTGCCAAATGTCGTTGCAGCAACAAAACAGATTTTCTACAAACTAAGAACATATTGCACAAAATGAAGAAAATGTTAACATACCATTGTCCACTGAATGACTGACAAAATGAGCTATACATGAAATGTCTATACGCAAGAGACAAATATGATATCTCAGTGATTTCATCACCATAACCATTCTTGAATTGAGATAATGGCACAAAATGTGCAAGCAAACAACAACATCCACATTAAATAAGGCTTAGTAACAAAGAAAACACAAAGTCCTCGATTTCCATAATGCAACATCAAGATTTATCTATTTTTACTTCAAGGTCCAAATGCAGAGGTTATATTAAACATTAGTCTTCATGAAAGGTTATACTAAACAGCCCAAGTTCAAAGTTCAAATCCCACCGGACCCATTTAATGTGTGATTTATAAACACATATTCGCCTACGTCTCAGTTTCCTTTATCACCGAAACTAAACTACATTTCCAGATCAATCATCCAAACAAACAATAAACAAACAGATAAATCTCTCAATACCAAAATCATCTATTATAACAAGTTGCAAGTTTTTCCAAAAAAACGAACAATAAAATCTCACTATCCATAAGTCTTAGCAATAACCAAAACAACGCTACATCTCAGACTCCCGAGATTCAAACAGACATTTTAAATAAAAAAACCCCCTAAATAGATGACAAGCAATGAAAAAAACAAAAATCACCTTTTTAGCTCCTGCGACCGCCGGCGAACCCACCGCGTCCTCCATAGGCCGGCGCCTGGGCGACGACCTCAGCCTGCTTCTCGACTCCAGGCAAATCCCCCATCCCGATACTCGAGAGCATCTCCATCGTCTCCTTGTCGACCTCGATGCGCTCGACCTTGATCTCCGACTCGTCGGGGACGAAGTCCATCCTCCGCTCGCGCTCCTCCTCCTGCAGCTTGAGCGAGATCCCCCTCACTGGGCCCCGCTGGATCCTGCGCATGAGGTGGGTCGAGAACCCGGCGATCTTGTTGCGGAGGCGCTTCGAGGGGATGATGGCGACCTCCTCGAGGATCTTCTTGTTGGTGTGGAAGTCGAGGGTCATCCGCGAGTAGTAGCGCTCGATGACTTGGCGGGAGGATTTCTTCACTGTTTTCGTGCGGACGCGACCCATGGCTGAGGATTTAGGGTTTGGGTTTGGGGATTTCGCTCGCGCGCCGGCTGCTGATGGCTGGGGGCTTGAGAGGGTGAGAGGGAAAAGGGGTTTTATAGTGGGGTGGGGATTAGGGTTTGAGAGGAGATTTGACAGCGTTTAGCAGACGCCGTTAGATTGGAGGCCGACGTTTGGGCCTGATATCTGAATTAACAGCCTATTTACGGGAGCTTGGGCTTCATGAGTTTAGGCCGTAACCTGAGATTGGGCTGCAGGAATTATTTGGGCATTAACGGGGATTGGGTGGACGATAATTCCGTGGAATAAGAAATGGGCTTGGATTAGAGAAAATTCAAATTTCCAACTGCAAGGCTAGAACTTGTCGTTTGTATCCCAAATTTATTCCGTGATCCCCCACCCACCCCGCTCATTCAAACTTTTCCTCCGCATACCTTTTTATAGTTGTTTAAAGGGTTAATTATGCGTAGAACCTTGTAGCATTGTTGCTTTGAACTTACTACTACTGTGGTTTCTTTGTTGCAGATACACTGGTTAAACTTTCTTGATAGTTTTACCCTTCGATATACTTACAAATTTTTATAGACAGGGGTAGTATCTGTTAAAATTTCACCAAGTATAAAGAGCTGCGGAAAAAAATGAACCAAATTAATTTGGAGTCTATCTGCAACAATAAAACTTCAAGGGTATGTAGTAAGTGCAAAACAAAGAATGTCAATGTGTAATTAACTTTCAGGTTATTAATTCAAAATAGTATTAATTTTTTTTTTAATTTGAAAAAACAAGAAGAGGGCCCAGGGGTATCCCTAACCCATGTTGTTGTTGTGCGCGGCGGAAGCCAAAACCAAACCGATGCGCTTCGAGGTACCAGGGGTATCCATTTCTAAAGTTGTGCTTCGGGTTAGGGTGATGATGCATTTTCATGGGGGGGATGTTAGTTCTTGATATAGTTTCGTTTCGGCAGTCCTTGTGGTGGGATTGTGCGTAGGCTTGGAGAAATAATTAACAGAAAGCGACGATGTTTATGTCGACAGTTTGTTGGAGGTGACGGATATATGGATCGATATTGACAGGTGTGTGCATGCAGTAACTGAGCCAGCAGCTGTTAGGTGACAAGGAAGACTAGTTTTGTAGGCTGTAATTCGCAAATAACAGCAAATTCAATATAAATTTGTGATTTAATCTTTTCTAACCAACTTCCCTACCTGTGATTTGCAAATAAGTAAAATTATTTTTCTTGAAAGTTTAATTGGGTGGATGATCATATGTTGCATGCAAATTACAAATAATAAAATTTGGGATTTTTTTCAACAGTTTTATGTGAGTTTGTTAGAATAAAAAAATATAACTCTCTATTTTTACTATAACTTTGAAGTGTTGGTGTAATGGTTAGCGATTTTGACATGGTATTTAAGCAACATAGGTTCAAATCTCATCTGTTATGAATTTAAAGCGGGCTTTCTTAAAATTTACACTATTGTATGAGTCTAGATTTGCAATGCATGTTAGAATATAAAAATATAACCGTCAACTCTCATTATACTTTTAGAGTTTTGGTGTAATGGTTAGACACTGATATGGTATCAGAGCAACCCAGTTTTAAATCACATCGGCCACGAATTTAAAGTGGATTTAAAAAATTAACACCACTGCGCGAGTCCAGATTTCAGCCCATAAATAGGATTCCCAACTTGCGGAGACGTGCTAGAATATAAAAATATAATTCTCAACTCCCACATTAATTAAACTGTTGTGGTATCAGAGCAACCCAGATTCGAATCCAATCGGCCACGAATTTAAAGTGAATTTTCTGAAAATTGACACTACTACGTGAGTCTAGGTTTAGCCCATGAACACGATCCCATACCTACGGAGAGATGTTAGAATATAAAAATATAATTCTCAACTTTCACCTTAACTTGATAAGGCATCAGAACAACGTAGGTTTGAATCTCATTGGCCATGAATTTAAAGCGGATTTTCTAAAAAGTGACACTACTGTGTGAGTCCAGATTTTCAAGTTCAACACATAAATATGATCTCTAACCTACAGAGACATGTTAGAATATAAAAATATATATAATTTTCAACCCTCGCTATAACTTGAATGGTTAGAGACTGTTAGATTTAGGATGCAAGCCTAAGGGGGTTGAATAGGTTCACTATAGTTTTTCGCTAAAAAATAAAATATACAACAAAAATATAGAAAATAAAAAATGAATAACGAAACCAAAAACCAATCAAGGAAAACGCGAGTTTTTATAGTGATTCGAATAACAATCATGCATCCACACTTCATTCTCACGAACGAGTTTCCTTATTACGACCAAAGATCACCTGAATCACAATCCAATTTAGTAAGCTAGCTTACAAAGAACACATCCTGAAATTTACCCAAAATCAATCGTCTAATCTAACTCCTCGCAAATGAATAACACTTAGCCCTAGATAATCCCTACCCTCAAGTATCATTAGCTTGAGTATGCATAAAAATAAGATGAAACAAAAACATAACAAATTAAACAGTTTAAGTGCAAATTAAAAATATCTTGCAGCACTTTTCTGAGCAAACCGTTCTTCAAAAGATTAAAGAAAATTTAAAAAAAAAAACAGTGATAATGTTCAATTCAAGGCAACTCTCCTTGCTAAAACTATTCTGAAGATGTTGAGTGCAACGAGAAAGAGTTTGATGAGGCTTTAGGGGTTTGAATCACAAATCAAATCTTCTTCACAAACCTTAGAATAATCTCTCTTTTTTAATCTCTCAAAAGGTCTTCTTTTTCTCAAAGCATAGAACCTCTACAAAATATGATATCTTCCTATCTTATATAACATTTGATAAACAAGGAAAAAGATATCAAAATATGGTAAAAGTTGGAGATGAAAGGGAACAATGAACAGTTGTGATTAACTCTTGAAATATATGCCAAACGCGTCGTCACCATTGATGGGTAGTCCTGACCATCGATGGTTCCCTAAGCACCATCATTTGTTGACCGTATATAATCAATGATCTGATTTTGCGTTTCTAAAAGTCTGTGATTGTGCACTGTATATATACTTTATCGATGGTTCCGTCGTTTCTCCTCGATCATAACCTTCGTATACCTGTTTTTACATGTACTATATCATTTTAAATAAATCTTAGTACCAACAGAAAATTTGTTATTAACCAAACAAAAAGCTATTGTATGGACTTCGTCCTAACAGAGAGTTTGACGGAGTTTTGTGAGGCACCCAGAGTTCTCACAGAGACTTGGCAGGTAAAAAATTGATGGATTTCGTGTTTAGTGGTACCGCGGAAGGGGATTTCAAATTAACCATAAATTACCTACTCTGTTGGACCTTCGTCATCGGTTGACCAAAGGAGACAGAGATACCCAAACTTTTTGTGTCTCTTGCAAGGTTTAGTCTCGTATTCAGCACGAGGTATCGTCATCTCGGTTGACCAAAGGAGACAGAGATACCCAAATTTCCCTCCGTATT